TTTTTTTCTCCTGTTTTGTTTTCACACTGTTTTTTTTTTTTTTTTACAAGCTAAGGACTAGAAACATAAAGTTAAACTAAATGATACTTTTGGTTACTGTGATCTGACTGTCAGTGGATAATGGCCAGAATGTAATAATATGTGTAATGTTAAAAGAAGAAAGTTGTGATTGGCATGATTTTGCTGTTTTAATACAAACCAGTATGTATTAAATAACACAAGGCTTTCTTTTTTTTAAAGTAGCAGTAAACTGGTGCAAAAATATATTAAGTTTGAATGTGACGGTGGTCATGTTGTCCTGGTCTGACAAAACAGTCCTTTTGTTTACAAAAAGGTTTCAGCCAAAGCTTCAGTCGCTTGTAGAGTTTTTATAAAAGCACTTTTTTTTTCTTTCATTTGAACAAGCAGTCCTGTAAATCAACATGTTGTTCGTTTTGTCAGCTTCTCTCCCTCTGGACGAGCCCCTTTTACATCTGTTGGTAGAGTTTGTCGTGTTGTCGTTCTGCACCGCACCATTTCATGGAACATGGGTGTCCTTTAGACAGAGAGGAAGCAGATTAAAGACTAAATGGAGCAATTAACAAGCAACCTCCTACCATCCCTCAACTCGTGTCTGATTGCAGATAAGCACTTGTTGGTATTCTGCAGGCAGGGTATTCTGCACGTGGAGCGTGTGGTTTACTTAGTGATCCCCACAGACCACAAGAATAAAATGAAGTTCTTTATGTGATTGTTGCTTATGCACAGAAAGAAAGAACTTGGTTTGGGATTTAGAGCGTCAATGCACACAGATGAGGACCCCAATCTGAACTAGAAGGGTGGGGGGGGGGGGGGGGGGGGGGGGGGGGTCCATGAGCCACACTGTTTGCTAATCTCACTGTTCACCTTTTGCAACATGGTGCCTGAGAGCAGGCCTCATAGGGCACCTTTTTGTTTCTCAAAACTTCACAGCCAGAGAGATTTAGTCCTCAATGATTGGCTGCCCTCCAGAGAGGCTTGTTGAGTGAACAGAGGTTTTCAGCCACAGTCCAAATTTAATTAGCTTCTTAGCACAGTGTGTAGGGGAAAATGATATTTCAGGAATAAGAGTTGCTCAGAAGATAAATGGCTGAAACCAGGAAGTAAATAGACTGAAAAGCTTTTGATTTTCATTTTTATTAGACTAATTTGTCCTTCTTCTAATAAATACACACTCAGAGCTATCCTAGGAAAGCTGTTGTAATCACACAATTAGCTTTATTTGAGGTTTTTGACATCTAATCAGCAAACTCCGTATATTTTCCAGAAAGTAAAAACAACCCAAGTAACAGCATCTATATCATCTGTTCTATGTGATGCAGATCAGCACACGGTAAAAGTTATGCTGAAGGTTATAGACAGAAGAAGCTACACCTCTCCACCGGCTGCTTGTCTGTGCGCCAGGGTGTCAGGTTAACAAGCAGGCCGTTGCCAAGTGGGTTAGGGTGGAAATAAGAGCGCTGTCATGGCTGCGCGCCATCACATCACCGCCAGTTCCTCACCACCATCGCTATAGGCCTTTTTACAATGACACTGGCTAATGTTCTCTTTCTAAGGCTACAGGGATCCTTATTCCTGAGATTTAAGGGCAAAGCTGCAGTCAGACATCTTTGTGAAGTTGTGTAAAGGGCAACATCAACACTCACCAGAATATTTAATCATGAAGCCACTTTTCGAGATACGACTATCAACCCATGCTGATAAACCAATGGAAGCAGCTGATATGGGGATAATACCATATGCAGTCTAAGCATGTTGTGGTGATTTACTATGGACCTGGGTCTGCAGCGCCGCCTCCACGCCTCAGCTGCCCTCAGCAGCTTCTGCTGTAGACACCAAAAGGTCCTGATTTTACATGATTATTTCAGGTGCAGGAAAGCGCTGTAGGAGCCTCTTGCTACCCAAGGACACAAATGCTCAAACATTCTGATAAGTGGCACAAGCCATCTCCTGTTTTCTTCTGCCAGGATTACAGAGCTATCAGTTTACCTTCCAGAGCAGAGAGCATTTTTGGAAGGCATCTAATGCTGAAGCAGGTGTGAAACTCTGACATTTGTTACATTAAATCAGACATTTAATCATTCATTCATTCATTCATTCATTAACTTGCATGTAATGACACTACCACGACCATCACCAGTCACTGCTGTGAAAAATGCTTGTTCCCTCCCCAGAATACATGTTTATTGGGTGTTACATGTGCAGCCAAAACCAAAAATTACCACCTGTCATCACATTTAGAAGGCAGTTAACAGAAAAACACTGCTTTTGTTGTTGTAATAGTGACTTGCTGGATTTATCACTGGCTTTAATTACTGCTATCTGTCCACATATTATCCTACTGGTCTTACTATTGGAGGTCTCTGTTATTCTCAGCCTCTTTTAATTCTGCTACTTATTTTCTTTGTGCATTTAGGAAGCATCCATCAGTGCCAGTGGTGGGCACCTTTGGCACACTTGAAAGATACCTGATAGCCACAGACACAGTAGGAGAAGCTAACATGGAACATCTTGCTTTGGCCTCTTGTCACCCTATCAGGTGGCTCCAGCAGCCTGAGCTGCTCAGGGCCAGTTGTAGCTGCTGGTAAAACACTGTTTTATCACTAAAATATCAGATTTAATAGAAACTTTGACAGATGAAAGCAGCAGGTTTGAGTCAGTTTTATCTTTCATGTGACTAGAAACATAAATGTTGCCCAACTTGAACAGGACCTTGTTCAAATTTGCCATAGAGCGACACCCACACAGTGAACTGCTGGATAACGAGGACAAGTGTCCATATGGGCACTTAAAATCTAAGAACCAGTTGAAAGTATGTGGTGAATCATCAGCGTCTTCCTGTCTGATCGGCAGAACAAGAAGGCCAAGCCTTTTCCTGGCTTTGTCACACTTCACTTCAAAGACCAAGTTCTTACTGTAGTGAATGTCCATTCACACTAGTGTCCTCTCTGACAGTAGCTGCATTTAGTCTGAGCTTTTTACACCAGTTAAGTGTTCAGAATGTGAGCTTAATGCTTCATGTAAACCCTTTAATCAGATGGCATTGGCTCATTTCAAACAAAATTTTAATCTGTTCAACCAATGGAAATTTGTCATGAACTGTCGTGATTATTTTGTATTTTCATTATATTTACTTAGGGTGTAGTGTTTGTGTAACTTAAAGGGTTATTTTCATCGCTTCATCTGCAAGTTTTTTTTCTTTATCAGCCCATAAATCTGGTCAATAAAATGTCCAAGTATTGAAAAATGCCTCTTGCAGTTTAACAGAATCCAACACAACCTCTTCAGTTTTGTCATTTTTATCTGACCATCAGTCCAGTACGCAAAGATAGTCCATTTGCTGTCATATATGAGTGTAAAGAAGCAAAATCTCAAAATTGAGAAGCTTGAACCAGCAAATATGTAGCAATCTTGCTGAAATAGCCACTGAAGTGATTGTGGTCATCTAAATAGTTGCCAGTAAATTCCGGTACCTAATTTAGGTGTGCTTTTTGACAGTGATGATAAGTTGGATAAGCAGATCAGTGTAGTGGTAACGTCTGGTTTCTTCCAGCTTCACATGCTGGCACAAGTTCAACCTTTCCTGAATCCACATGATCTTGAGAAGGCTGTTCATGCTTTTATTAGTTCCAGACTTGATTGTTGTAACGCGCGCTATATTATAGGAACCTACCAAAATGTATAACGCTCATCACAGGTTCTGCTTTTGTTTCCACTAGGGTGCATTCTGAGAGCTACATTTTGGCACCCCGCAGGAGGTAGTACTTTAAGTACCTGCAGCATCACAGAGGATCTGTGCCCATCTTCTGTTAGCTCCAACTAAGAGACAAGACGTCATCCTGACAGAACTGTTTTGTCTTTCCTTAGGCTGCTTTTAATATATATTGATCCCTTTAGTAATCAGTACTGCATCACGTATTGCTTCGGTCTTACAGAAGGCACAGATGTACTTTTCCCGTGGTTGAGAATATTGAGCAGAGGAAATGCTTGTCTAAGGGAGGACTCTAACCTCTATTTGAAGGTGACCAGGAGCTGGTTGTGTGCGAGTGCAGCCTACTAGGGACCCCTTCTGGCTAGATACAAGATTTCATCATTACCCTGATATTGGCTTGTAAAAGTGACCCTCTTTATAAGCCCCCCACTGTTCTCACAAGCAGGACAGCAGTCATTGCGTTTGCTCATTTAGGACTGAAGAAAGTGTTTCAACCAACTATAAATGTTAATGTTAGAAATAAACAGCTACTGAAGGGTGGCAGTAAGGATATTATACACAGATGAAACAGTTGATCAACAGAAAATGTATTAAATGGCTGTTTAGGTGAGGAAAAATAGCAGTTTTCTGGTTTTTGCTTCTCGAGTGCTGCTTTTATTCATTGTTAATGGTATTAAATTGAATATCTTTTGGTTTTGGATTATTAATCAGACTATTTCACAGGTTCAAACTAGTGTGAGCTTCATTTCAAATCCATGTACAATAAAACGCAGACTTTTCCATTAAAACATGCTTTATTCACCATGCTTTATTTTTTAAAAGCAAGAATTCCAAACATTGTTGGTTCCAGCTTCTGTTTGTCATATGTAATAATATTTTGTGGGTTTTGAAATGTGTACAAGTCAGACAATCTGGAGGAACTGGGTTGGACATGTTTAAGGCCAAAAATTGAGTATTCAGTAAGATAATAGGCAGTTAAATCAGAACTGATAATAGTAGATAGTTCCAACCCTATAGTCTGATAACATACCACCATTAGTACAAATTATGCAAAGCAAGTGAATCATTCTCTACTATGAAAATACTATTTCTAAAATGTCTTTGCTCAGATTCAAAAAGAATTGTACATGACCGACATAGAATATTGCAACCACACTTACAGAATATTGTCTAGCAAATATGATCCTTCATCTTAACCCGTCAATAAGTAGAAAGGTTGAATATCCATTTGTCATCACAGGGCAACAAGATTTTTATTCAGTATAACCGGTTGAAGACATGGCCATGGGCTGCAGGACCTCACAATGAGTGTTTTAATATTTGCTGTTCTGCAAACCAAAAAAAAAAAACACACATATCCATTAATAATCATCAAATCTAACAGTAGATATAGTGTCTAACTAGTGCAACCCTACTAATGCTTCACTGTACACCACAACTCCCACCTATCAAAGACAGTTGACTCTGACTTGCCTGGATTCAATGGTGTTTTTCTCTTCTCTGAAGTCGGTGCTCATTTGGAGTTGATGGCAAAACAGATTTAACTTGGATTTTTCTTCCCACTCACTTCTAACCGAGCCATTTCGTGGAGCTGTACAACTCCTGCCAGGACACCCCTCAGCACTTCTGTCTCCCTGTGACACTTGGGTGACTCTGCCAGCTAATGATTCCCCAAAACAAGCTGTAGCTACAGCAAACACCCAGACTGCTGTAATAGACTGGTTTGAAATAGACTGCTCTGCTCACCCTGGGGTCGGACTGCAGCTTCCACGACAGATCAATGCAGACAGTTTTCAGCTGAGAGGGACTAAAGTAATCCTTTCTTTGTGTTTCTTTCTCTGTCCCTGTCTATCTTGCAGGATGTACCCAATAAAAGAGGTTCCTGTGGAGACAGAGGCCCTCACTGACTGGCTGTATCAGAGGTTTGTGGAGAAAGAAGCATTGCTGGCTCACTTCTATGATACAGGTCAGTCTCACCGTGTTGGTTTGGTAAAGTAAAATCTGCAGTTGCTATAGGAAATTGTCTTTGTGACATGCTAACAAAGTGAGTTTGCTTTGTGGGCACAGCAAAAACTATACCTCCCAACCATAACTTTTTGTCTGTATCCAAAAAACTCGCCAACACGTTTCAGTTCTGTAGCTGTCAAAACAAAAAAAAACAAACAAAAAAAAAAACATGCACAGCGTTTCAGTTGGCACTTGTTATGAGCTAACTTGCAATTGGGTCATGCTGTTAAGAGTTTCTGAGTCTTGAAACGTGTGGGTTTGCCACAGGATGCTATTTTGGAGGCACAATGAATGTAGCTGGCTTTCTTTCATAGATTACGTTGTGGTGACAGCAAATGATGACACTGTCAAATCTGTACTCTTGTAAACTGAATCATGACGGGGATAAGCACCAACTCATAACATCGGCTCCCCAGGCCAGTTAACTGCCTGGAATTTAAGTGAAATTATGAACTGTATTGTGTTGCCCACACAGATTTTGTACTAATCCATTTACCAACATTGGCATCTAAGTCCTGACAGACACTGGAGAACACTGTTGTAGTTTGCACTGTCACAGCAAACTAAAACTTATTTCTTCATTTTGGTTGTAGTTTATTACAACTTTAACCAAATGGTCAAAAAAAAAAAATCAAATCAAATATTTTCTGATTTCTTAACTAAGATATATATATTTTTCAGTTCCTTTTTAAATCACATCTTCTTTTGGCATCCTGGATTAACATAGCTTGTACCTGTCCATCTCTCAACAGGTTCATTCCCCACTCTGGACAGACAGAAGGAGGCAGTTTCCCGGCAGATGACCCTTGACCCCGTGTGGCTGTGCATGGTCCAGTCATTTGCAGTCGCCTCCGGATACATGTGGTACAGTGTCCTCCAGTACCTCTACTGCTGTGTATTTTGAGTGGGATGATGAGGCGAGAGTCTTTATTGGACCACTGGAACAGCCTCAGGATCAGCTGGCGTGCGGCCCAGCACCGTACCTGCCCCCTACGATGGATGAATGTACATTTGCAACAGTGGAGAGAATAGGAAAAATAAAAACAACCACACATGAATACACAAACACACAGATTACAAAAGCCCGTACAATGTGGAACTGGTCACAGGAATAGGTAACTTGCGTACAGCCCTAACACCACGCACTCGCTCCAACGGCCTAGCAGAATAATCTCACACTCGTTATCACTCGCGTTTGGATGTTTACGTGTCCTCATACACGTAGACACTCACACGTACATAACCTTTTATTCACAGTTAATGACATGAGGCTCAGGACTCCTCCAGAAGACATTCTGGACTGGACTCTTTCTCTTTCTCTTTCTCTCTCTCTCTCTCTCTCTCTCTCTCTCTCTCTCTCTCTCTCTCTCTCTCTCTCCCCCCCTCTCCCCCTCCTAGGCTTTAGCCGTAGTAGTTTTACAGAGTATAAAGTACTGTATGTATGGACGCGTGTGAGTGAATATCTGTGACTAGAAGCATAATGTCTGCCTTTCCTCTTCCTGGTGAGAGTTGATGAAGCCCACTGGACCTCTCTTTCAGCCCGCTGACTAGCCGGCCACACCTTCCAGAGTGAGCACCTGTACGAACATTGAGGCTGCACAGCCGGCCACTCGTCTGGCCTTCATTGCACTAAGGACCCATACTGCCCCACAAAATACTCCTCAATAGTAGCTGTCAGTATTTTAATTTCTCTAATTTTCTTCCCGCATATCTCCACTGCACCGGCCATCGTATTTGTTGTCTACTTTTTGTCGTCAAGACTTTTTATTCTTTTATTCTGAATCCGCCCGTCTGTCGAGGAAGTATTCTGAGCTCCCTGAGGATCATGTTTACACTGGTGGCCCTGCTGAAAGCCTAAAAGGATGGTTGGTCTTTTTCTATTTCAGATGTGAAGGGAGAAAGACGATGCCACAGTGGAAGTTTAGAGAAACAAAAATCGGGTAACGTGCAGAGTGAGATCTGCCATCTGATCACCTAAAGAGTAACTTCTACAATGTGGATTCTCCTTTCCACCCTCTGCTCACTAACACGCACACACACACTTGCACAGACAAACGTGCAGGCACGGCCGTGTGCAGCTACACAGCAGAGTAAACGTCTGTCTTGAGGATCATCTCAAAACACCGGACTGAGAAGGCAGAGACTCTCATTCCCCTGTTGGACCATATAGTTTTACAAATATTTAAGCCATATGCTTAGTGTTGTTGAGGTGGGAATTAAAAAAAAAAAAGATTTTTATAGAAAGCTACCCTAATGTTCAGCATTCTAAAATAGAGATTTTGGCTTACAGAACTATAGGTGTCATCACTGTAAATTTACAGCATAACCTGCCTAAGTGAGTGTGTGGTTGTCTCTTCCCCCTATTTTTGATATATATGAATCATGTTGTGTTGCTCTGTGATGTCAGAGTGTGGCAGCAATTTCACCACCAGTGGTCAAATTTTATTTCAATTTAAATGCCATAACCTGTCATCCTCATGTCACATGCGTTATGTTTAGATCCTGTACAGTACATAACAAAGCCGAGGAACGGTTTTCATTGTTGGAGGTGACTGCAGCGTGTCGGATCATTTCAGAGAATTTGTTTAAATCATCATGTTAAAAAAGAGAGAGAGAAAGAAGGGATTCTCTCCACTTCTGTGTCCCCCTGCATTTTTTTTTTCTTTTTGAGCCTTTGAATAGGAAGTTGCGGGATTCAAGACATTAGAGCTCCTGTATGTCTGTGTGCTTGCTGACACACCATTTGCACAGTGACACATAGGCCCAAACATGTACGACAGTACTTTTTAAATCATGAGGGTTTTTATGGAAAACCTTGACTGTCAGGCCTTATCTGATAACCTGGTGAACCACAGTCCCAGGCAGTGCTGTTTCCTTGCACTCCTTCTCTGGGGTATTTGTTTAAAAAAAAAAAAAAATAGTTTGAAGTGGGTAAGCGAGGACGGTATCACTCTTCACTTAGGAGGGAAACTCTTGCAGGGTCCTGCGGTGTTGCAGCCGTTTGCTCTCGTGTAGTTGTTGGTTTGTTTTGAGGTCAGTTACGTGAGGAGCTGCGGTTATTGTTGTGAGCCGTGTAAAAGGTGGCCCTCGCTGTGTGCCACTGTTAATATAAACTCTGTGACTTTTTTTTTTTTTTGAAAAAGGGCTACCCGATTGGGTAGGTGAAAACATTTCAAATCAGGCTGTAAACACCTTTCATCCAGCAGCCCTTTCAGATTCCCCTCCATCATGAGAGTGACTTGAAATGACTTTTTTTTAAACGTTTTGATTTTATTTCATTTTTAATTTTTTTAAATTTTCTGACCATGTTTCCAAAGAAGGCAGGGAAGTAATGTTTTCCTAGATGTGGTTTTAGGAAATAAACACAATAGGGACAGAAGCAAATTATACTAGAACTGTCTGTAATTTTTCATTTTGTACTTCTCCTTTAATTCCTAGCTACACAGCCATTTTACAACACAAAAAATTGTGCTGAATAAAACACCATAAAGATCCTAGCCAGTGTTCAGTTTCTCTTCAATGTACTTTTGCAATCGATGTACAGCTAAAGCTGCTAAATGGTGACATAATCCTTCATATGTGTTTTTTTTTAAACATTTTTCTTGGGATTTTTTCCCTTGTCTGCAAGTATTAACTTTCCCATTTTCTATTCACTGAGGTGGAGGATGATATCCCCGTAACTGAAGCCTGTTTTTACTCAGTTCTGTTCCCATTGTTTAACTGTGGTGTCAGTCACTGGTTTATATTACAGAGCTCTGTAGAAGAAGTAGATTGGTGTATGTTAAAATGTTCCATTACATGTAAAAGTCCTTCATTCAAAGTCCTATTTAAGCTTGAGGTGTCAAATGTAAAGCGTAAGGTATCATCATGCCTGCTGTGACTTATTGTACACTGATCAGCTGCAACATTATGACCTCCTGCCTAATGCTGTGTACATAGGAGTCAAAGTACTAATGAAATGTATAAGTTTAATCTACAGTAGGTCAACCTCATCATCAGAGAGCCCTGGGCATCCATGACCCTGTGGCCAGTTCACTGTCTGTCCTTCCTTAGACACTGTTGGTTGGTACTAACCACTGCAGCCTGCGAACACCCAACAAGACCTGCAGTGTGGGAGACGCTCTGACCCAGTCATCAGACATCAGTCTTTGCCCATTTTTTTCGCTTCCATCACATCAACTTCAAGGACTGAATGTTCACTGGCTACCTAATACACCCCACACACTGACAGGTGCTATTGTAACAAGATAACGTTATTCATTTCACCTGTCACTGGTCATAATGTTATGGCAGATTAGTGTATATAAAATTATTAGATAGTTCATAGTAATGTACCAGGTGTATGAAGCTGTTTTTAACTGCTGTATTTACAGACTGGAGCCAGGGTGGCTGATGCTCAGCGTGGCATCCGGATGGAGGTGGCGTATCACCCTGCATAGAGAATCCTACTCCTCGGCTCAGAATCTCTTCCCATGATCCCTCGCATTACACAGACAAATGGCTCTGCAGAGGAACCTCTGTGTCCTCTGCAGAAACATCATTGTTCCTCCTTGGACACCTGCAGTCAACTATTTCACGGGTGCTCCTTCCCAAGGTCCTGAGCTCGAGTCACGCTTTGGTGCCCTCTTCCTCATGAATGCCACAGTGATGGCTGTATCCCTTGAGTCAGCAAGCACTAAAACACCCAGCTGTAAAGAGGAGGGTTGAATGTCACTGCAGCAGCCGCCAGCATCACACTCTCCCCAGGCTCTCCTGCTGATACAAGAGGTTATGATGCATGCAACAACCAGTCAAACCCTCAGCATTGTCACATGCAAATACTTGTCAACATAAGGAGTGCAACAGTAAAAAAAAAAAAAGAACTACCTTGTTTAGGGGGAGACTTAAACAAACACCCTGAGCTATGTGCTGAGACTTCACACCAATAGGTAGAATGTGATACGATGAGATGTAAAATTCCATAACTTATAATAAGAAGGTGATTGAGGATCTTTAATATGTACATTGAGTCTAATGGCACTGTAACTGAAGAAATAACAGACTCTTCTAATAATAAATGAAATGTTGAATTAATAAGAAATAAACACCCTTCTTCAGTCCAGCACACACAGGGGGTTTGTTGCTACAGCCTTACTGGTATGAACAGTAGCTAATGGCGGCTGATGTTTGCAGGCTTACTGTAGATATTCCTGTGTAGTTGGAGTCAGTAACTCCCACTAAAGGGCTGCAGTCACCCCAGCAAGAGGTGAGGAGGTTATCACAGGATGTCGCTCCCTCTCAATTCCTGGCCTTTATCAGCGGCATCTGACATCAGTGTGGCCTCAGGCACCTGACTGTCTCTGTTGTTTTTAGCTGTCTGTTTTCCACTCTCCCCATGTAAGATTCTGTGAAGTGATGCTATGATTATGCTGCTTTGATCATTTTAACATGTCAGTGAATCAGACTTGTGATATTACAGTTAGTAACCAGATCCAGTCAGTTTGATCTCAGTATATTTCAGCTACGAGAGACTTATGCTGAAATCAAAGCCATTATTAAGTATTAAAAGTGAAACCAACATAAGGTTATTTCCCTAGAGATATACTCAGATAAGCAGGGTGTCATATGTCTATCCAGGTATTCACAGAATTTTAACCTTAGCCTCTAGAGTCCTGAGCTTTGGAAACCCAAGCTGTGCGGTCCTCATATGAGGACGCAGGGACTCTAGAGGTTAGGTGAAGCATCTTTGAGTAACTGTACAGTTGCAGTATACATAAAATTGGATATTTTTTTTCCTTTTGATTAATCAGCTAATCATTTTGAGTTTGTTCTCTTCTAAATAAGTTAAAATGTCATGTACAGACAATACAATTTTTTTCATTAACAGTAATTCATTTAGAGCACTGTTTAGTGATGAGACACGTGGCACCCAGAAATAGGAGCAGAGTGAGAGGTTGCTGCTCTCAGATGGTAAATCTTCAGGGGGTCCTGCTGGTTGAATCAAATGACTGGTGACACCAAAACGCCCACTGGCCTCCTCCGTGTCTTGCATATGCATCCTTGGAATCTGATTTGATGAGAACCTGTCATTTCAGTTTGGAAAATTTAGAACATAAAGAAAACTAATTTTGATTTATGCTCAAAAGTTGCTTGGTCTTTGGATATTTTTACTGAACTGTGCTTACCTTTGCCTAATCTATTTTCTAGACTATTTATTCCCTGAGAAACTTTTTTTTGCAGGTGTGTACATAACAATAGTGACCAAACTTGTCCAAAAACAGAATAGCTCTGTATTTTGGCGCCCCCGTATGGACAGTTAAAGACATATCATTTACGCGCTCTACTCTCGCGGTTTTTCAGGCACTTAGCAACCTTAAGACTTGTATCTTCTCACTGACCAATCAGAGGTGGTTTATGAGGCGAGCAGGCCAATCACGGTCGCGGATTTGTGCACCAATTTAAACCAGGAGGAAGCATTTTGTGTTTTGAGAAGTGCAATACACGGTAGTGAATGAGGAAAGCCAAACAAACATTTGGTCTTTTTTAAATCTTTTTCGGAAAAGTATCTTCAGCACAAAAGTAAACAGAGAGAAGATGCAAGTTTAAATGTATGCTTAAGTAAAGCCGAATCTATGCTAACAGTAACTCATTTGGTACGTTAGCCAAGTCGACGTTAAATCTGATTACTTTTATCGTTAAGTTCAGTTAAAAGAAACAACATGCCGTCCCGTGTGGAAGACTACGAAGTGTTGTACACTATAGGCTCCGGTTCTTATGGAAGATGTCAGAAAATAAAGCGCAAATCTGATGGCAAAGTAAGTAAAAAAACACGTTTATCTGCGCACAGTCTACCTGTAGCATAGGCAACCTGTCCGAAGGCATTTGCTGCAACAACGGACTGTTAATGTTAATTTTCATCACGTTACACAAAAAGAATATTTTTGGATTTTAGTTTTTAATAGCTATATATTCTTTATAGAAATTTGTGGGGGTTTTGCGAATCCTTTCATTTTAAATTCTGCCCTTTAAGTTAAGCAAATGACTTTGTATTGTAGATACTTGTGTGGAAGGAGCTGGACTACGGCGCCATGGCAGAGAGTGAAAAGCAGATGCTGGTGTCAGAGGTGAACCTCCTGAGGGAGCTGAAGCACCCAAACATAGTGCGGTATTATGACCGCATCATAGACCGGTCTAACACCACTCTGTACATTGTCATGGAGTATTGCGAGGGTGGGGACCTTGCCAGCCTCATCAGCCGATGCATTAAGGAAAGGTAACTATGTGATCCCCTGGAAATGCATACTGTGGGTTGTGTATTGCAGCCCAGGATTATATTAGCCAGGAAAATATTTCAGTTTGTATTTTAAAAATTGTGAGTTATGATGTTGCTTCACTTTGCTTGTGTGTTTTAACCGTGACAGACGTTATTTGGAGGAGCGTTTTATCCTGCGAGTCATGGCACAGCTCACATTAGCCCTAAAAGAGTGCCACAGACGGAGTGATGGGAGGGCCACAGTTCTTCATCGAGACCTGAAACCAGCAAACATCTTTCTCGACGTCAGACAGAATGTGAAGCTTGGTGACTTCGGCCTAGCCAGGATCTTGAATCATGACACCAGCTTTGCAAAGACATTTGTTGGGACACCTTATTACATGTCTCCAGTGAGTTTTTATCCTTTTCTATGACTACCTTTGTAGGTGGATAAATGGAACATTTAATCTAACCTTTTGATTGTTCTTATCTGAGCTCAGTATTTTAAGTAATTTTTAAGTTTCCTAACTTTTAAAGACTTTATTATTATTATAACCTCAAAATGTTAACTTTTTTTTTTTCAGGAACAAATAAACCAGATGTCGTACAATGAGAAGTCAGACATATGGTCACTGGGATGTTTGCTGTATGAACTCTGTGCATTGTTGTAAGTTTTCCGAGTCCTCTGCTTGAACTGATTTTCCACAGTGGCTGGTCTGTTGGTCACTGCAAAGCCAAACACTGAATGTCTTCTGTTCAGGCCTCCATTTACAGCTTATAACCAAAAAGAGTTGGCAGAGAAGATCAGAGAGGGAAGGTTCAGAAGAATCCCATACCGATACTCTGAAGAACTGAGCACCTTACTCAGCAAAATGCTCAACTTAAAGGTTAGAAATTGATAATTTAACCATCCTATTGATATTGTTTAGGATAAAAGTTCACTTTGTAGGACACTATACTTTTGCTACCAGCTGTTCCATGTGTGTTTTAATGTAGTTAGGGTACACTTGTTGGTCCTCCTGTGTTGCCAGGACTATCTAAGGCCCTCTGTGGAGTCTATTCTCCAGAGCAGCCTGCTGGCTGTTGCGGTTGCAGAGGAGCAGAGAAGGGCACAGGTGCGGCTCCGAAGACGGTCCGCTGACTTCGACTGTCCCCTTCAGAAGCAGGATGAAGCGGCCCCCATCTCTGCTGCAGAGCTCAGACTCAGGGAGCAGGCGCTGCGAGACAGAGAAAAAGCTCTCAAGGAACGTGAGGAGAGGCTGGAGCGTAAGATCTGTATTCTTACTCCTGTTTGTGCCACACAGACTTCAGTTTCACATGTGGTCAGGCTTGAATCATGCTGTGACTTGGCCATGAGCTGTTGTGCTCATTTCACAGCCTGGATGAGCTCATGATGAGAGATCAGAATTAGAGATGCACTGATTGCAATTTTCTATTTAGGTTCCAATTTGCAACTTTTTTTTTTTAAGTCCAACCTGCCAATTCCAATTTTCTCTATTTCGAAGAACTGTAATTGACAGTAAACACAAACATTTTTTTAACTTTAATAAAAATATAACATTTTATTAAAGTTCCGTCTTTCACTTTTTTTTCTTCTTCAAACCTCCAACTAAAAATGAAGTGCATTATTTGTATTTCTCCAAATATAAACAGGTGCAACAGGTAATAGAAACAGAGTCACGTCTGTTACATCAGTCCCACTGAGCACAGTGTGTGTGTACTCTGTATTTGCTGTTTTATTTATTTTTTTCCCTGTATTAGAGGCTAACATGACATCCAGCAAGACACTTAACTATGCCTTTAACATGTTTTGGAAATGTAAAGAATGTAATGTTGCTGTCAAATCAACAATGGTGGATGAACAGAGTAGAGAAGTGCTTTTGCTCATCTTGCATATTCACAACCTGGTTCAGACTCTTCATGGCAGTGTTGTAGGGGCTGAGGTGGAACGTTTGCCCCACTTTTACTACCTCTCCTGGTGTAATAACTGGCTCCCACATGGTACCTTTTTTATACAAAACTGGCCCAATATTCTGGCCTTGAACGGGTTGTGTAAAAGTGGCTTATATGAGCGTATTACTGGCATTATTCGACTTGGATTTGATGTAGTGCTTGACTCATAGCAGCACATACTCAAATTGATATATCATGCAATGTACCTAAAATGAACTTGAAAATGAAAAAATCTTGCACCTGTAAGTGTGAGATTGTGTTGTCAAACCCTGTGTAATTGGAGCAGGTTTATACATGGTGCTTGTAATAGATGGGTCACACCCAAATTTTTACCCACTAGAGTAACGTCCACACCTACAGCCCCTGGCTATGAAGAATATATCCTGAAATGCAAACATGTCTGCATGTATCTACAGTAAAAGGCATGCAATATCAAACACAGCAAATATGTCCTACAAATTCTAAATGTCTTTTGTTTTGCTGTTCATGGCAGAAAGGGAGCAGGAGCTGTGTGTTCGTGAACGACTGTCAAACGAGAGGTTTGCAAGGTAACACTAGAGAACAGTCCTTATGTTATCGTTCTACCTGTTCTGCTCTCTCTGCAGTGTCTTATTTTGTCATTTACGATCTGGTTGTTTACAGTCTGTTCATGCTAATTTGCTTTTCAGAGCAGAGGGTTTATTGAAGAATTACAACTGGCTCCAGCAGCAGAGGGACCTGGCACCGCTCTTTGGCAAAAACATAGGTATGAGAATCGGACAAAGAGCTCTGAACTTATTGAGCCGACACAAGAACTGAGCAGTTTTTATGTGTTAATACTTCTGTTTGGGATGTGCATCACTACTGTCAGGTTTATTTATTACTTTTGAAATCATGTAAATAAAGTCTTTATGTACCAATAAAGAATTTTTAAAATAAACCTGCATTTAAAGAGTCCAGCTCATATTGCACACCTGACAATCTAAGATCATGTTGTCATGTTGGATTGCAAATAAAGTTGTTTGGGTGTGGTGGTGCAACTGTTTAATCGGTGGTTTCTTGCGGTTTGGTCCTAGATGTGGAGAACCTCTCCCCTAGCAAGAGGAAGGTGCACTTCGCTGGTGAGAGCAAAGAGAACCAGCTGTCTGATAGTGGTCAGAGCGTGATGTCCCACAAACTGATTCTGAGGCTGCAGGCGGCCAAACAGCGCGCCCAAACACTGAACAAAGTGGAGAAGGCCTGTGAGTTCAAGAGCAGGCAGCTCCTTGGCATCCGCTGAGCATGCAGCCAATGCTGACTTGTGACTGATTGCAAAAGCTACTGGAGGCTAGAGTCATAATAAGTGAATAATGTCAGAATTTAGTTTTACACTTTGATTTGTAGGCGTCTTACTGTTATAGGTAGCTGTTATGATTGTAAATGTATATCCTTGCTATTAATATAGTTTATATATTAGTAGTATGGATGTCTTTTTTTCAAAAACTGCATGGTGGTAGGTATGAAAGGGCAGGTTCTTTTATGATGTGTATATAAAACACTCCGGAAACTGTTGTGGTAATGAACATGTAAACTGCAGAATGACCATTTGTAAATTTTATTTCTTCTGCACATTTTGATTCAGAGCTGTTGATATAAATATAAATTATCCAGATGTAGTAGAAACTGAGGACATTTTTTTCTGTCAAACAGTTGGTGTACATTGTAATGTAAATACACATAAGTGTGTAGGCCTACAGGTGCTGTGTGTGTGTGTATGTAGTAAAATAAAATGTGCATAATTTTCAGCTAATGGATCTTATTTGATACAAAATTCCACCATAAAGGAATTTAAAGGTTTTGTCAAAACAATCATTTGAAGTACATTAACATCAGATGCTCTGACCTTTGTATTCACGTGATTTGGGAAATCTTAGACTGATGTGTTAGGGTCCATCAGTCTTCACTGCCCACAGCTGTTGTTTTTATTATTTTATTACAGTCTTATAATGATTTCTACTTTTTTATGTTGAGTTTTTCATTTGCAATACAATTAGTCACACATGTTTAATCAAGCCCGATACTTCCCACAAGGTGTCATGAGTTTCCCATGGAAAGTCTTCTCACAGTGATTAGCGCTGAAACCACAGGAGGCTGAGCCTCCACGCTTTAATGTCTTTGTTCTTGATTTCTTGATTAATAGCATGCAATTCATTGAGGAAATAATTAACAGGGACATTTTCTATTATTGGGGTTTTGTTAAATAATGGCCATGAAGATTAAAAATGTGTCTAATAAAAAATGAACAACAATGAATGATAAATGATTTACTGAAACTATTTTGAAAAAGATAAATGGTTTAATTCCCTTAAAAGCTAAACAAAAAACTTTAAGTAGGTATATTAACATAATTACCTCTTTGGTGAGGATAAACATTCATTTATGATTTATTGATTAAAAAGGTGAATTGAGGGTCAAAGCTTGTACGTTAACACAGATGGCATTTGGACATCTTCAGGACTTAAAATAGAGGTTTTCTAACTGAAGTATGGATATAACTTGGATTTTCAGACAGCTCGATCAAAATTTATATCGCGAGAATACAGATTGCGATGGCGTGGGTAGCAACCGTGAGTAAACGAACATAGATGCAATCCGCAGCTGTTTGGCTCTTTTGGACCGCCTACTAGCGACCGTTGCAATATTTGACCAATCAGGTCTCATCTTGTAATCTCTTTGAGAAAAGGGATTGGTCGGGGCGTGTCCTTACGATTCCGTGTTCCGTGTGGAAAGTTTACCGGCTCGGGTGCAAAGTTTCAGCCGTCTGCAAACGGGAGCTCGTCCGCAAACCTATGTCTAATATGACGGTGTCGACAATAGTTTACTTATACGGTAACTAGGATCGTATCCCGGATTAATTGCACCGGTGACTGTCTTTATATGTAGTGGAATGATGCTATCGTCGCTGGATAACAGCAGTGAATGAAGACGGTGTTAGCATCGGTCGTATTGTCTCAAGGAGCCAGCTAGCTATAACTACGTAAATCGTTAGCTTGGAGTTAAACCGGAGAGCTAGCTAGCCGGTGCCCGAGTGATCTCATAACTCGAAACTTGACTCGACGAATAACTGTGAGGAAGGAAAAATGGCTTGTGAGCCTAATCGCGTTCGGCTGCTCTGTATGCTGTCATTGACTTTTGGGTATTTTATTGTAGAAGTGGTGGTCAGCCGCATCACATCATCTCTGTCAATGCTGTCGGACTCCTTTCATATGTTGTCAGATGTCATTGCGCTGGTAGTGGCTCTGGTGGCGGTGCGATTTGCCGAGAAAACCAGTTCGACCAGCAAAAATACCTTCGGCTGGATCCGGGCGGAGGTGATGGGGGCTCTCGTCAACGCTGTCTTCCTCACGGCGCTGTGCTTCACCATCGTCCTGGAGGCGATCGAGCGCTTCACCAATCCCCATGAGATTGACAGCCCGTTTATGGTCTTAGGGGTCGGTGCCGCGGGGCTCCTGGTCAACCTGCTCGGACTTTGCTTGTTCCACGGGCACGCCGGTGGAGGCCATGGACACTCCCACGGAGGTCACTCTCATGGGAACAAGAGGAGTAAGCCCGGAAAGTGCCAGAAGCCTGGACATGGGTCTTCAGGGGAGGAGACCAACAACTTGGTGGGGAATCGCAGCAGCCCGGGTGATGTGAAATCGAAAAGCGGTTAGTATAAAAAGCTGGAGCATTTTGACTGTAGTGTAGTCATTGAACTTATAGTATCTGCCTTGGTTGCCTTTCCTGTTGTTAAAGTGTGCATTACAGGCCTGTAAGTGTCCAAACCCTACATATCCACTCTTGTTAGGTCCCCCATTTAATCTGATAGCCAATCTTCAGGTCTCCATTGTTAGCAGCCCTGATTGCATAACAGTTCATAAGTACAGTATGTCTCCAGTGTACCCTCAGCTCGCACAAAGTGACTAATCCTTATTGTTTTCTCATCAACTGTGATATCTAGACGTTTGTGGTTTGTTAACACATATTTGTTGGGTTATTTGATTCTTGAAAATGCGGTTGCCCTAAAGAGGTGACGCCTCAGGTTGCAGGCTTTGTAAAGGCTGACTACTATCAGCTGGCTTAAAAATAGGGATATGTTCAAAAACAGGGTGGTCAAAGTGTCAAATCCTACAAAGTTCCTGGCACTCTCATGCCTCATTTCTACTGCTCATATTTACTTGAATTTCCACAGCTAGTAACAGCCAAAAAAAGCATCCCATTTACTTGAATTTCCACAGCTAGTAACGGCCAAAAAAAGCATGGCTGTGCCACTGGTGTGTTATTGTTGTTCATTGAAGGGCTAAACTCATACAGAAGACCATTTCTCCCCTACACTGTTAGGCCCTGCCATTTTCAATAAATGAAGCCTGTGTCCCCCTCTCCTCCTCCATGCCCTGATCGTTGTTAGTAGGCTATACATCAGCGTAACTATGAGGTTGACAGCCCCAGCCGCACCATTAGCCGAAGATAAATGGCCCAGCCACATCCTGAGATGGAAGTGGCACTGCTAAGGTGCCATTCTCTCATTGCTGTGTGCGTTGCCATGCTGCTTGCGATTGCCAATTGAATTAGCTTAATGTGAATTACTACAGCATGTTTTTCAGCATTTAGGGTTCCACATACTGGGCATTTTCTTTTATACAAGCCATCGTGACTGTCTGGTATGTTTCTCCCATTTGGAGCCAGTATAGCACAGACTCAGTCACAGGGCTAAAATGTTTTCCACAGTGGAAGCTGAAACATTGTTACCAGGAAAAAACACACACTGATATGTTAATGGACTGCATGTCCTGGTAAATTATCTTTAGTCACCCTCTTACTGACTTTGAATAGAGCAATGCCAACATGCCACTAGATAACATTTCAAGTTCGGGCTCTTTTCTTTCAACTTGCAAATGGACTTGCGCTTCGACTGCTACTGATAGCATTTTTTTGGAATCTTCTTTTTGGGTAATTTGTTAGAGCTTTTTTCTCCTGCCATAATGAGATCATTATTTTGTTTCATTATTTGCTGTCATTTCTAAAAACAGTACTTTTGTTTTGTTAGTCCCTGTGGCATCTGTGTATCTGGTTTGAATGCTGTATTATTATCTCAGTGTCAAAGTCCATTTGATTATTCGACATTGACTTCATGGTTGACTAAACGCGCCTCCATTTTTATCTTCAGAAATCAGCCGTAAAGACAGCACAGAGGTGCAGATGAATGGCAACACCTACTATGACGACATGGACCATGACGACAATTCATCGTCACAGCTCAACATGCGTGGGGTGTTCCTGCATGTGTTGGGCGATGCCCTTGGCTCCGTCATCGTAGTTGTCAATTCTTTAATATTTGCCTTTGTGTGGCAGCCCTGCATAGAAGGTGAGACATGTATAAACCTGTGCATCGATAGCCACACCACAGACCACCAGCATGTCAATCACACACTGGTCGACCTGCTGGACGGTCCAACTGTGTCAGCTGTGAAACATGCCGGCCCCTGCTGGGTCCTCTACCTGGATCCCACCCTCTGCATCATCATGGTGTGCATCCTGCTGTATACCACCTACCCACTGCTCAAAGAGTCGGCTCTCATCCTGCTGCAGACTGTGCCCAAGCAGATCAACATACACCGGCAGTGCGCGGCTGCTGACCCGGGACGGCGTGCTGGCCATCCACGCCCTGCACATCTGGCAGCTGGCTGGTAGCCGCATCATCGCCACAGCTCACATTAAGTGCCACGACCCTGCATCTTACATGGAGGTGGCCAAACGCATCAAAGACTTCTTCCATGACGAAGGCATCCACGCCACCACCATCCAGCCTGAGTTTGAGTCTCGAGACTCCCTCTGTGAGCTCTCCTGTCGCACTCAGTGTGCTCCCAAGCTGTGCTGTGGCTCTGTAGACAAACAAAGCACAGGCTCTGACAAGAAGGCCAGTAGTGACTGCAAGGTTGCAGCCACTTCAGCTCTGGAGGTTATCAGTGAGACCACAGAGCAGGCTGCAGGCGTTCAGGCACACCCTCGGTCAGCGGCTGAGGTAACCATCACTCGAGAGGTGGAGTCATCTCTGTGAGATGGGGGAGGCAAAAACAGAGGAGAAGCTGGAAGACTAACACTTTGGGCAAAAATCATTGTCATTTACAGGAGGCTGTTATGTTTCATTAGCCTTTTATCCTGTCATTGTCCCCCCCTTTTTGTTCATGCATTAGTAGCCTAGTTTCTTTTCATCTCTTCTCTCTCTTCATGTCCAGTCCCTCCCCTCCCTCCCAGCTTCTCCTCTGCTGCTCGGCCCCTCTCTTGTTGTCTGTTGCCCTGGTAATATGGTGGCGATGCATGTTGGGGTTCACTGACCTTTTCTCCACCAGGACTGGAGTGAGGCCTGCATGACTGTCCGTCATTAGCACCGTGTTGTGATGCGTCATCTCGTCTTGTGTTTCTGTCCCAAAGCTTCTCACTGCAGGACTGAAGGGATCAGCAAGACGTCCTCTTCCCCAGAAGGTCACACACGCAAAGCGGAGCACAAATTATTAGGTTATATGTTTTTGCTATGGACCTGTTGGCAGAAAGGCTACCTTTTTGTGTTTTGTGCAGGCTTTGAGCAGATTTTCTTGCCAGCCCCAAATGGAAGTGTATTGTATTGCATAATAATTTAAGTATTTAAGTTATTAGAAATGATCTATTCCTCTCTATAGATGCTGTCTGTAATATTCAGTTTGGATGATCAGAACATTTTTTTTTTTTTGCAATTTGTCTGTCATGAATATTTGGACAGACCATCTATGCTGTAGTCAGTTTACAAATGTGATGTTTTATAATCATCTTGTTTCTTCAGATTCCTCTCTGGCCTTGACTCAGTTTTTATTGCAGTCATTCTTTGGATTCAGAAGCTGTATCAGCGCCTCTCACCTTGCCTTTAAGTACAAAAAACAAACTCTTGTAGTACTAAGCATAGTAGGCAGAGTATAACTGAACCTCTTGCAATGGCACAGTCACCTAATTAAATGTTTATTCATAAATTTGATGTCTTGCAAACCAGAGGGTTGGGTCTGTTGTGAAGAAGTGAGCACTGTATGCCACTAGTGAAACACTTTTCTTTGTGAATTTGTGCTGGAAAGCCTTCTGATGTTCTACGGAGATTATGTTTTAAATCCTCCTGAATGTGTTCAGCACCTTGCCACAATCCTCTCTGAGAAAGTTTTTGTATTTCCAGGATGTTTTACTAAGTTTGCATGACCAAACTGAGACCTGGTGCGTGAATTTTTACAGCTCCACTGAGAGCTACAGTTGCTGCTTACCAGTACCAGCTGGTATCCTTCAGCATTACTCCCAACTGCGTAGGGAATGACTCACCGTGTAGCTCGTCTGTCCTCTGCTTTGGACAGCTGAGCAGGCTGTTTTTTGCTGAAGTCAAGTCCATATCGTGGCCTTTGAAATAGTACGAGTTCTCCTTCATCACTACCTATCACATTATAGATGGTTCATTGGTGCATTTCAGATGTCCACTCTTGACTAAATGTGTATGCAATATAGAAATGTGTGCTGGGAAATGTATTTTGATGCTTTCCTTTAGTCACTTTTCTTACGTGTTTTTTTAATATTTGACCTCTGTGTGCAAATTGAAAGCAAAAGTGTTAGTTTATTTTATTTTAGATATGACATCAGCTGATGCACATACACACAGTACCTGTTCAATGTGTCATTGGGAAAATAAAAAATATATATGGTGTTTAGTACAGTTGATCAGCCCATTTGTCTTATTCTGTCTGTAGCTTCTAGTCATTCCAAAAACAAAATTTGAGTTCTGACTTTTTTTTTTCCAGAATTCTGAGAAGAAAAGTCAGAACTCAAATTTTGTACAATGGCCCTGATCCTCTTTCCTGAACGGCTGTTTCTCTGTTACAGTGCATGTATCTGTTTTCCAAAACATGTCTTCTGGTCACCTTAGAAAAGAAATCGATGCCCAAAAGAAAAAAAAGATTTAGTTTGGCTTAATGATCTATTTTTAACGATATTTCCAGCCATTCACACTGTCAATAAAATTCGTCACACACTGAAATCTTACACTACCAGAATGTTTCTCCATCTATAGAGTGTAAAGACTCAACTCCACATATTTGTATCAGGTTTTAGAAGCACTAGAAATTAACTACCGGTACAGTATAGAAGTACAAAATAGCATAAAAAAGCAAAGGTACCTCAGAACTTTACTTAGTTGAGTAAATGTACATAGTTACATTTACAATTGCAAAATAACAAGACTGAAGTTAAATTAAGAATATAACAAGTGACAAGAAAGGAAACTGTTTATATAAATATAAATCGATTAGCCTAAGTTTGACCCAGTCAGTGAAACTACTAATAGTTCATTTGACAGTCTGCTTCTGAAACCTGCAGTGAGAGTTCAGATCTCATTTTGTATGAGGTGAGAATATAAGTGAAAACAACACGAGCAGACTACCTGGCGATCCAGTCTGTAAAACCAACAGGATATGTGCGGCTCATGTCTTTGGTCCAGCTACAAAACCTCAGATTACCTAAACAGTAATAATGGCGAGTGGTACATCTGCCATATTAAATGTGAGCCAGTTGTTGGAGTGTCACACTGCGGTTACATAAGCCCATAATTGCAGCATACTCTTCTCTGCGGTGTAGAGAAGCGGATACCAGCTCGAGTCTGTGCAGTGGAAGTCTGGTGAGGCTGCTGCTGACTGTGGCTGGGAAGCTGACGGAGCAGCCCTCAGCCTCAGGGCTCTTATGTAAGAGGCCCGGGGGTTCTACCCAGCATTCCTCTGTCCCTTTTCATGTGCTCAGAGAGAGGTTGATGCATAGCTGCTCTCCTTTGTGCTCTTTGTGTTCAGTAAATCAGGTGTTCTTTGCACCTTCACTGCAGCCCATTGTGTGCACCAGTCTGTTCACTATTATCAGCTCTCTCTCCCATAATTTTGCTTTATGGGTTGAGAAAAAATGTAATTTAAAACTTTACCAGGTTAAATTGTGGCTTATGTGAAATGTTGATAAGCTCATTATCTCAGCTAATTAAAACTAGAGGATCAAACTTCATTTTATATGTTCAGACCTGTAGCTTTTAGAATGAATAGAATCAGCAGCAAACACATCACAAATAATATAGACTTTACCTGTTAGGTTCATGTTAAATTAGCTGTTTTGAAAAAGATTTTACTGGTTATATTTTGCCAGTCAATAGGATTAAACCCGGGGCCATGAACGTGGTGGTTTGGTGAAACACTGGCTGCTTAGTTTCAGGTTTTATTTCATTAAAACAAATACAGAAATGTTGAAGTGAAACACCGACATGCGTGCCAGCTTGGTTTTGTGCACGTCAGTCAGTGTGTAGGCTGCAAAGAAAAACCGATGACTCGGAGTGTAATGGTTTTATGTTACAATGAAGCTTGTAACTTGTTTAATTTCCTCTGCCCTGCACTTTGTTAAGGCGACACAGAACTCTCCTTGCTCTTGCGCTGTAGCACTGAACATGCTTTCAGTCATTTGTTTAAAAGGAATAGTCCCCAGTTCAGACGACATTTAGCTGTTGCTCCTGTGTGGTTTAAATGCACTTTCGTTCAAAGTATCTCCCAGATGAAGGTCATGCAGTGTAGCTAATAACAGGGAGGTGCAAAAGTTTGGTTCAGAAAGTAAAAATAAAGAGGATGCTAGGATCCTAGGATGCTTCCTGAAAATAACTGTACAAAATTATATTAAATAACAATTTAGTCTGACACTAATTACTAACAGAGACAAAACTGATAAAGTAGAGTTCAGTTTGTTGAGCCCATTAGCAGCTGTTGATTTGTAGAGGAACCTCCTTAGGCTGGTGTTTTGGGGCAATCCATCCATCCATTTTCCTCTGCTTATCCGGGACCGGGTCGCGGGGGCAGCAGTCTAAGTAAAGATGCCCAGACTTCCCTCTCTCCAGACACTTCCTCCAGCTCCTCCGGGGGAATGCTGAGGCGTTCCCAGGCCAGCCGAGAGACATAGTCCCTCCAGCGTGTCCTGGGTCTTCCCCGGGGCCTCCTCCCGGTGGGACATGCCCGGAACACCTCCCTAGGAAGGCGCCCAGGAGGCATCCGAAACCGATGCCCGAGCCACCTCAGCTGGCTCCTCTCGATGTGAAGGAGCAGCGGTTCTACTCTGAGCTCCTTCCGGGTGACCGAGCTCCTCACCCTATCTCTAAGGCAATCCCATTAATCTTAAAATCCTGCTCACGTCAGTATTTTATAATTCTGTGTTTAGTAGAATACACGAATCTGCAAAGACACTAAGATAAATTATAAATGTGTTGGGAACAGAAAAAAATGATTAAAAACTATAGAAATAATCAGCTGAACTATGAGTACCTCTAAAGCACGCCACCTGTGATGATAATGCTGGCCTGCTGTGCTTTATTTCACCTCCAAAGCACACGTCAGTCGTACATGAGTGGGAGGAGGTGAGTTAAAGCTCTGTTGTGTACTGATGTGTGCAAATTTGTTCAGATGTTTTGAATTTTTATTAAATGATACAAATCAAGTGACAAAGCAAACCTTGGGTTTTTCAGGGCTGTGAAGGGATGAGTCAGGGAAAAGACTTTGGGTTAATATTTCACCGTACCTTCACGCCTCGCTCTCCAAACTCTCAGACCTTGATCGCAGAGCTGAGCGGGTTCAACTGGCAAAGATTAATTCCTCACTGATAACAACCCCAGGAAGAGAAAACAACATCAACACCAAACACACATACACACACACACGTTCTCTTCCTCTCCCTTTCACATTTATGCAATCTGCATACAATAAAGATGAACGGCATCTTTTAGCACCTTTTGTGTGCGTCAGTGTGCACGAAGCATGTGCTATCGGCCCCTAGACCGCTTGGAGTGTGGACACTGCTGCACCTCACCACAAATGATACAAAGACAGACCAGTTAAATATTATTAGGATTGTTGTGTATTTAGGTTTGACTGGTTGTTACCAGTGTTTTTGTCTTTGTTTAGCAGCTTTTAAACTACATGCATGGTAGTCTTTTTATATTTCTGACTTATTTTGTCCATATTGTCAACAAAGAATAAAGCTGTCCAGGCCACAGAATACAAGAAAAATGACACAGGCACCTTTAAAAATGTCCCATTTTTTAAATACTAATCACTCAAAACATTAGTGCAGGTGTTTAATGCAAAAAAGGGTCTTGTTTCACTGTTTATACACACAAATACAACAACAATAGCCTAATTTACATGTAACGTTATGTTATCCCAGCTCATTTCATGCCTTTCTTTAAATTGAAAGTCTACGTATGTCTGTGAGTAACTGAAATATGGTTTTAATTCATGAATATGTTCATTAAAAGATTTAAAATGGTGGCTCTAAATTGTCTGTAGGAGTGAGTGTGGGTGTGTGTGGTTGTTTGTCTACATTCAGCTCTGTGATAGACCGGCGAGCTGACCAGGGTGGAGCCCACCTCTCGCCCAATGCCAGCTGGGATCAGTGTGTCCTCTGCATTTTGTCATGTGTAATGATGAAGCTGCAGATAGAGTTGTGCTGTTACTCAGCGTGTTTGCTGCTCTTTCTTCTTCCTGACCTCCTCCTCCTCCAGCTCACAGATTTTTATGGTTCAGACTTATTTTTAGAAACAAACACTCAATCAAACATTGCTTTTGTATAAACCTCATCCCTCCCCCCACCAGCACACACACACACCCCTATTTAATCACGAGGATGTGTGTAATAACTGAAAACATCAGGCTCACTGTGCTGGGAGTCCTAGCCTCCCTTCTAACCACCACAGCACATACAGTAACTGACTCATTTGGTTTGATAGGCTCCCTCCTACACAGTCACACACTGTACCCACATCTGCTGGCAAAATATAATTAAGTTACAGCGTTTCTCACACTGATTTGCTGTCTCTTCACCTCCTCCATCACTTTGTTCCAGACTGAAATAAATGTTTTACAAAATACATTTTGGACACACATTTATGTTTGTCAGACTTTGTTGATTCCTGACCTTTCCACTGGCAAGTTGATGTTTTAGGATTTTTAGGAAACATTTCTCAAGTTTTGGATGAATTGCCAGTGAATTTGGTTCACACATCCATGGCTCCCACTGGATGAACTGTAATAACTTTAGTGATCCTACTACTTTTCATCTATAGCACCACCATCATCATCAAATTTTCAATGTGTCTAAAACCTTAGTGCATGACTAAAATGCCATCATGGATGTGAACTTTGTGTACATCTCACATCTTTTATATAATCACTCCTCAATCCTTGCTCGACCCAGAAGCCATTCTAAGGCTTGAGGATGTCTCAAGACTCCCTGATATCTGCAAGTAGATATCCTTATCATGCTAAAGTATTGTCTGTCTTATCTGTAATACAGTCCCCATGTCTATACTGTCAAACTGAGTGCAGTTAAAAAATAATCAAGCTATATGATCCAATTTTGCAATTTAGTGTTTATACAGAAAACTGAGCAACACCATCGCTCATTTCAAAAATATGTCATTTTCACGACTTTAGGTGCTTTTTTTTTTTTTTTTTTTACTTTTTCCTGGTTTGTTACAAAGACAAACAGACTGTGAGCACTTGACTAACGAGGTCACAATGTTATCTCACTGTTTGGCTGACAAACCAGAGACCCCCATGCAACTGTGCAGCGGCCATCGACTAACACTGCAGATGAGTGAAGCTGAGAGTATTTGCAGTGTAATCTAAGATGCAAAAGTAAAACAAATTAGCTGGTTGAAGCCAAAAGCTGGTCTTAACAGATAACATTCTGCAAAGAAAGTGAACTCCAAGTTTACATGGAGTAATTTCTTCTTTCATTTTATTACATTTCCAGCTGGCTGTGCAATATAGTTGTGATAAAGGAGGAGAATCAGGCCTCAGGCTGCCTCTGCCAACCTGGCATGCTTATCTCTACTCAGTTCAGTGAGCAGAGAAAGCTGGGATAAGTTTTAGTAAAATTATTTCACCATTAACATTGTACATGTGCTTTTCAGCTCATAGTTTTGGCTCAGCTCTAATGTTCTGATTGACCTTCAACATTTT